TATCTCGGATAAATGCCGCCAAAAATTTTATTGTTACAAGATCAACTGGGGTTATGGGGGACAAGAAGACACAAAGACATCTCATGTTTGATGAGACGCAGAAGTTAGCCAAGCGTCTGGCAGACTGATGGCGAACATATATTCCTCCCGCAGGCGAGAAGCGGAGGCTTCGCAGACTCACTTCACCTTTGACTACTATACTATTATGATATCCTGTGATAATTTGGGCAGTCGAACTCATTCACGACGTGCCATAGTTGTTTCTCTCTCTCTGTGTGGTAAATGACGCAAAAATGTTATATTGTCACCAGATCAACTCGGATTGTGGGGGATAAAAAGTCACAAAGACATCCCATGTTTGACGAGACGCAGATATAAGACAGGCGTCTCGCACACTGATGGCAAATATATATTCCTCCTGCAGGCAAGAAGCAAAGGCTTCGCATACTCACTTCACTTTTCACTACTATACTATTATGATATCCTGTGACGATTTGGGCAGTCAAACTCAATCACGACATGCTGTAGTTATTTCTCTCTTTCTCTCTCTCGGGTGAATGCCGCAAAAATGTTATATTGTCACCAGATCAACTCGGGTTGTGGGGGACAAGAAGACACAAAGACATCCCATGTTTGACGAGATGCAGACGTAAGACAGGCGTCTGGCGGACTGATGGCGAACATATATTCCTCCAGCAGGCGAGAAGCAGAAGCATCGCTGACTCACTTCACCTTTGACTACTATACTATTATGATATCCTGTGACGATTTGGGCAGTTAAACTCAGTCACGACGTGCCGTAGTTGTTTCTCTCTCTCGGGTAAATGCCGCAAAAATGTTATATTGTCACCAGATCAACTTGGGTTGTGGCGGACAAGAAGACACAAAGATAACCCATGTTTGACGAGACGCATACGTAAGCAGGCATCTGGCGGACTGATGGCGAACATATATTCCTCCTGCAGGCGAGAAGCAGAGGCTTCGCAGACTCACTTCACCTTTGACTACTATACTATTATAATATCCTGTGACGATTTGGGCAGTCGAACTCAGTCACGACATACCATAGTTGTTTCTCTCTCTCTCTCTCTCTCTCTCTCTCTCTCTTGGGTAAATGCCGCAAAAATATTATATTGTCACCAGATCAACTCGGGTTGTGGGGGACAAGAAGACATAAAGACATCTCATGTTTGACGAGACGCAGATGTAAGACATGAGTTTGGTGGACTGATGATGAACATATATTCCTTCCGCAGGTGAGAAACTGAGGCTTCGCAGACCCACTTTACCTTGGACTACTATCCTATTATGATATCTTGTGATGATTTGGGCAGTCGAACTGAGTCACGACGTGCTGTAGTTATTTCTCTCTCTCTCTCTCTCTTGGGTAAATGCCGCAAAAATGTTATATTGTTACCAGATCAACTCAGGTTGTGGGATACAAGAAGACACAACGACTCCCATGTTTGACGAGATGCAAGCATAAGACAGGCGTCTGGCGGATTGATGGCGAACGTATATTCCTCCCGCAGGCGAGAAGCAGAGGCTTCGCAGACTAACATCACCTTTGACTTCTATATTATTTTGATATGTTGTGACGATTTGGACAGTTGAACTCATTCACGACTAATAATTTTTTCTTCTAACGGTTTGGTGAGGACCTCAAAGACGACGTGTCGTAGTTTGATTATCACTACACAAATTTGGTTTGTACATGTCAATTTAGCATAACCTATTGATGAGGGCATCCTAGGTTTGAGAATGAGGTGGCAACACTTGTAAATATATGTAAAAGTGTGTCTATTGGTTAATAAATGGTAATTTTGTTATTATTTTGAAAAGAATTAGTTAAACGATATATTCCGCAAAAGTTTTACTATATTAAATATTTTGTGTGTTTTATTAGTTGTATTGTATGCATATCAGTGTATTGTATTGTATTTCATTTTTAAAATTTTATTTATTTTAATAATAATAATTATCTTTTGTGTATATTATTTACAAAAATAATAATTAAGATTATAAAATATGAATTTTCTATTTTAAGTTTATTAAGCTTTTATTTAATTTAATTCAATTGATAAATGTCAACTAAAGGTAAAACTGAAGGTGTTGAAAAAAAAAACTAATGCACATAGTCTCGTAGTTGTGGAGTCAATCATTCAAGAACTATATATATTTATAAAAACACATGCAAAAAATTAAATTTTTACATACTGATTAAAGGCTATGCAGAATGTATATGTAAAAAGCTGTAGTAAATCGTTCCATTAGAATCTACCGATTTTTTTTTATTAATGTTTTTTATTAATCATTTGTTTAAATAGTTTATTTGATATTTTTATGGGTAATACAATTAACTAGCAAACGACTGGTAGTGAATTAAAAATTCGACATAGTCCTTTTGTAAGGTTAAGAATTAAATTATTTTGTCACTTTAATTGACACTCTTACCCTCACGCACTTGATGATTTAACTTTAACAAAATCTAAATATTATATACAATATTTGAAGATAGCGTATTGAGAACAACAAATTTATTATGCCAGCGACAAAAACTAAAAATGTTTTCACTCATTTTCTATATAACAAATGAAGTGGCATATTTAATGTAGTGTACTTTAATATAGTGTACTTTTAGCAGCCATTCATATTACCATCTATCATATCCAATGACAATCTATCAATATTAGTAGACAATTATATAACCTGATATAGTAACAAATAATATACTTATATACGAACATAAACACCCATCAGCCATTGGAATTACTATCCATCATATCCAATGACAATCCATCAATATTAGTAGACAATTATATAACCCGATAGACTAATATAAAATATACTTATATAAGAGCATAAACATCCATTAGAGAAAATAACATGCTATAATATAATTTACATGAATGTGATCCGCCTCGTATTTATAATCACCTATGAAACAAAATAACTCTCTAACGATGAATGTATCTCTCCATCAATGTTAATAGACATCTACAATACTCATATATCATTACAAATCCCCATCATTTCAAATAACTTGTTACAATATAATATACGCTTATGTTTACCACGTGTATAATATGTACCTTTATCATCTGAGTCATCAAGTATTAGAGCTGCATCTCTGGCAAACAAGAATGGGGGTATCCCATCATCAGCCACCCCAGCCCCCAGGAATCCAGTATCATGAGGGGAGTCACCACCAACGTGGTCAGCACAACACATGCACCATCAATAGTCAAGGTGAATCAATAATTGTTTTCCTGATTTAGGCAAAACAAATGTATGTAACTTATACAGGTTCAGATCTGTAAGTGGTCATTTATCACACTTGTGAAAATAAATACATGCTCCCGACATATATATGCTAGAAATTAATAATAATATATTAGGCGGCAGGCAAAAAATCATGTCTCCTTATTAATTGCAAAACCCATGCGTACAAGGTGGCAAGTTCTGTAAATAGTTGAAGTAATTTTTTTTTCGTCACCCTTTCGCCAATTCCTTCTAGCGCATAAACTATTTGTTTTTTCCCTAATAAAAATCTCAAACCTTGTTCTGCACCTCTTTATCCCTAACTTTATCATGAAAAACCTTTATAGAGATAATTGTAAGAGGGATCGACTAGTATACTTTCAATTTGCCTTCAGTAAGTGGTTAATTTGATTGCATTTAGGTGTTGACTGGTTCAGCCGCTACCATCCGCAAATGAAGCTTTTGTGGGTGGTAGCGGTTGTTAACGTTTGACAACAATTATACAAAATATTTTTTAGCGCTCCATACTGCTGCAAATTCCTCAAAATCCAAATACTTTTCACACGAGCGTTTACGGTTGCGAGTGAATAACTAAAAAATATAAATGTATAAAAATGATTTAAAACCAAAATATTTTTTTTTAAAACTAAAATATTATAATTACTAGATATATAAATAATGTTGGTACTTTTTAATTAATATTTATTAACATATATCATTATTTTATATCTATAAAATATATAACCCAAAATTTTCTTGATAAATTTTCTCTCCATCACTATGTATGTGTGTATATATATAATAACAACTATTTTTTAAATATAATTTTAGTCTTAAATAAAATCCATTTAAATCATATTTTCATAAACTAAAGTAAATTAAAAAATAAATATAAATATTATACATATATTATATTTTATAGTTTTATTATTAATTATGTTGACCTATTATTTTTTTAAAATAATATGGTTGATTTTTTTATAATTATATAATGTATTTATATTATTGTTTCATAAGTTAACTGCGACTGCATCCGCAAATCAACCAGCCAGAAATATCCTGCAAATGTATTCGTTTTTAACTTCTATCTCAGTCGTACAAACTGCTTATTAATCTATATAAAAAAATAGCTAGAAAGACGATGGTGTTAATATTTATAAAAATATATTTTACATATACCTATTTCTACAATTCTATATCAAACGAATGTATATTTTATATTTTTATTATTATAGTTTATTTTGAATCATTTCCTCTATTAATAAAAAGTTTAAGTCTTATAAGTTTTACATAAATATTGACTTTACAAAGACACAGTTGAATTATTAATCAATTAAATCCTGCTAACAAATTAAAACAAAAGTTGATCAATATTGATAAAGGAAAAAAAAAAGGATTGATTGATTTCGCAATAAAAACGAACTGGTTCGAGTAGAAAAAGGAAACTAGCAACAACAACGAAAAATAAATAAAAAAGGAAACAACTATTAATAAATGTTTGTATTTAAGATAAAAAGAGGAAATAAGTTAGGATGCAAAAATGGAAACGTCTATCGTTTAAATAAACCGGTCAACCGGTCAACTAAGAAAATGGAAATAAGCAACAATAACAAACAGAATCTGAAAAAAGGAAATAATAATAACCAAAAAAAGGAAACATAATCGTCTGAAAAAGCTTATATAATAACACCTCACTCCTCTTTCTCTACATCGATTTGTTGAATTACAGAAATAAAAGAATGGAGAGTAGAGCATCTGTTACAGTAAAAATCTATTTGTTTGATCAAAACTCTGTTCATCCCTCGAGTCTCAACAAAGTTCTCATCAATCTCTCCCACAGATTCGAGAGATTCACGATCGATGAATCCGATGGAACCCTAACTTGTACTGGATTTTACGCGGCGCCTCCTCTTCCCATCTCTCAAATCAGTTTGAGTCTCAAAAGCTACGAATCCAATCCGAATCATCTGTTTACGCTCATCGATTCTCGTCTCCATGATCCTCCCTTATCCCATCATATCGTTAAGACTGTAACGATTCGGACCCGACCCATTTGAATAAGTTTAAATGGATTAATTTGGCTACCTATGTCATCAAAGTGCACTTATCTTTTCGGTTAGTGGGCCTGAGAGAACTTCAGAGTTAAGCATGCTTGAGCTGGAGCAGGACTAGGATGAATGACCTTTCGGGAAATGATTCCCGAAACCGTGTGAGTGAGGCCAAAATACGAGGAAAGATCATGTGGTAATTGCAGGTCAGTAAATAAGTCGGTAGACTCCGGAAAAAATAATGCACCTACCGTCGAATAGAGGCGGGTCCACGAACCCGACAGAGGAATGGATGACTCGCCGGAATGGACGGTCAGGGCGTTACAGAGACGATCGCTAATCAAGTGATTCAAATCGGACAACCTTACATCATGTCCGTTAACGTGGTTTTGACGGAAGATGTGTTGCTCGACAGTGTTCCCGTTTCTGAAGAATCCAAATGTGCAATCTGTTTGGAGGGTTTGTGGAACGACGAAGACGACGTCTTGAACAGTGATTTGCTACCATGTTCGCATCGTTTTCATATGAGATGTGTCGGCGAGTGGTTAATGAGGAGTAACTCTTGCCCTCTCTGCCGTGAGATTGTGTACGAAGAGTCTTATGAAGCAGATTTTTGATTAGTCTTTATATTTCTTTTTGTCCTTTGTGGAAAGTCTTTCTTCGTGTTTATTGTAATTGAAACTACTTTTGTTGTTAGACATGTAATGAAAGTTTGCTTGCTGAAGAACCAAATTACCTTATTTTAAGAACCCTTCTTATAAATTTTTTTATTTTTTTTTACAGCAATAAGGCTTATAATTCAAAAAACGTATCAAGCCTATAAACAGAAAATCTGATGTTACAAGGATATATATAAATAGAAAATCTGATGTTGATAACAATTAGATTACAGAGACGACTCTCTGATTATTGGCATAACCATTGAGTTTGGTAGAGTGTTTGGAAATGGCATGACGGCCATAGAAACTTTTTAATCTGTCAAATATTTCCTCTAACTCTGATTCTTCGGTTCCGATCGATATCCTCACCCAATTCTTTGCACCTAAAGCCACTCCTACAAAATTCCAACAACAAAAACATGACTAAATATAAATAAACAAAAAAAATGACCATTGAAGATCAAACTTAATTATTTGAAACAATATGGATGAATATGAATATGTAAGCCCATGTTTTCCATATATTGTTAGAGAGATTAGTACCTGGTACAAGGACAAGACTCTCTTCACTGACTAACTTCGTGCAGAAATCAAAATCACTTTTGATATTATCCAACATCGATGTGTCAAGTTTTACCTGCAAAAACGTCGTTTAAAATAATTAGTTATATGCATATATATGTAGATTATGAATTTATGTTCCCTGATAATATAAGATCAAACCAAGCACGAGGATACAAAAATAAAACATCTAATTGCATATCTTATATCCAAGAAAAAGAAAGTATCTATATTGCATATCTTATATCCAAGAAAAAGAAAGTACCCATAAGTAAGAACAAGATTCAGGTTTCTTGAGGCAAGAGAGACATGGAATGTCCTTGAGTCTCTCGCATGAAAGCTCTACGTTGCGTCTCATGGCTTTGAGCTTCTTGGCGAAGAACTCTTTAGGTGTTTTCTCCAATATATCAGGAAGTGCTTCCTATTGAAATCCATAGAGATATCATTTAGAACATTAATTAGTATATATAAAACCTCAACTCTTTTATGTATATTCAAAGAGCTTATCGCTTTAGTCTGATGATATTATGTAGCTGATGATAGTGAGAGACTACAAACCTGAAGAATAAATGAAGGCTGTGGAGTTAAATCAAGACAATCCTCTATTGCTTGAACTACCTGATGTCAACAAAAGGTCCAATATATTAGTTTACTCTACTTAATTGATGTGAGTGAAACTAATAATTGTCATTATGTTTAGAAGTTGACTGACCCCTGTAGATCTAAAAATGCCATTAGGATCGTTCATGGTGATCCAGCCGATTCTCCAGCCTGGGACGACCCATCCTTTGGATATGGATCCGAGCGTGATCACTGGAACTATCGATCGATGCGAAAATCCCCATGGGAACAAAGGGCATGTCTCCAAATACAACATGATCATATACTTCGTCGGATATAACCATTATACCGAGTTTCCTAGCCATCTCCGCAACCTACAGATTGATCAACCCAAACAAAAGAAATGTAAGTTCGATTACCAATAGATCTTTATTTCTTACATATGTGTGACATATAAAAAGGCTATGTATAATATATGAAAAAGAACTATATGTACCTTGTTAAGATGATCGTAGGAGTAGACGTTTCCACATGGGTTGTTCGGGTTGATGAGAACCATTGCAACGGTATTCTCATCGGCAACAGCCTCAAGTTCGTTCAGATCGATCTCGAAATCTCTTTCCGGGAGGAGATCGTATTTGCGTACCTCCACGCCGCTATAAACAGCACGAGCATCGTAGTGAGGATAGCCTGGTCTTGGAAGCAGAATGTTGGCTGATGGGTTTCCAGCAAGACTATCCATTAAGATCTCTATCGCTTGGTTGCATCCGCCGGTGATATACACGTCTTCCGGACTTAACTTAGTCGGAAGATCTCCGTTTAGATAATCTGCCACCGCTCTGAGTAAAAAAAAAAAGAGTAGCCAGATAATTAATGAATTATATAAATTAAATGTTACTCAAAAAGTTCTCAAACTTTGTTTTTCAATTTTTTTTTTGAAATTTATGGTACTTTTCGGCCGAACTTCTCCCGGTATCCGGATTTAGCCTTTAAATATTCCGATTTGACACAAAGAATTTTCGAGGAAAGTGAATAATCAAATCAAACCTTCTAGCGTTGAAAATTCCAGGGCTAGGGGCATAAGAGTTGGCCATGCCGGAGCGGACCGCTGCAGCCACAGCTTCCTCCGCTTCAGGGCAAGTTTTGAAGCTTTTAGTGGTGGAGGGCAAAATGGTCTTTCCACTGTTTAAGTTGCAGTTCTTAAACATTCCAAAGACGAGCTTTCTCAACGTTACCGCAGCTGCATCACTCGTTGCGCCGTTTCCTTTGAACCGCCAAATGCTTTCATTTGTGTCGCGGTTGTCATTACTGTTGCTAGCCATCGATCGATTATATTTTTTATTGCGTTTAGATTCTTGTTTTAGCTATGAGTACAAGTTTTTGTGTTGTGTGTTGTACATCTCGTTCGGATCGAGCCCTTTATAAAAGGTCAGGCGAAGAATAAAATATTTAAGAATTTTTCAGTACAATATACACATGCATGCAGCAATATTTTAGTATCTTAATTAGTTCAGTACATATATTATACAGTACAAAACATTAAAGAAAAAAAGATTCCAACACGAGTTCTATCTATATGTTATTAATATTTATTATTATTATTTTTTTTTGTTAAATGTTATTGTAGTTGTTTTTTAATATTTTTGTTGTAGTTGTTAACATCGTGTAACGTGCACATCCCATTATTATAAACAGAGTGGTCATCTCTTATCGAGTCATTGACACATAAGTTTGACCAAATAATTTAGACTATAATAAAATGAAATCCATAATATTTTTTAGTAATCTGTTATGGAAAACAAGAAAATATTTCAAAATATGAAATTTTATATATTTCACAGTTCAAAAAATATAAGTGTGTTCGGAAACAAATTACAAAATGTTTATAGGGTTGTGATATTGTTTGGGGTTGTAATGTTGGATTTTCGAGTTTTGTCCTTTGGAAAATGAGTGGTATGTAATTTCGGGGTGAAAGTCTTGCAGAGTTCTGTACATACAAGTAGGCGAGTAAATCAGACATTTGGGGGATTAGAAAAGATTTTTTATTTCAAAGGTTCTCTGATGCTCAAGTCAATGAACGTCCTACTAGAAACAGAAACTCAGAAATAAGTTTAGTAAAGTGTTAGTGGTTCAGGTATTTCATCCGCGGATCGTGATACCTATATGATCATAAACACCCTACTTTACATTTCACACTATCATCTCTCTCTTCCATCTTATATTTTAACATCCATTTCTAATTTGTAATGGTTCTGTTTATAAAAATTCAACACTTTAGACCATTTCTAACCCCATGCCAATTTTCATGCCAAACCCTATTTATGCAGTAAATCTTCTCTAACCCCAAGTCATATCTCATTGCAAAATGGAGGAATGTTTGGCGTGGCACTGTTCATCATTTTTTTGGAATGAAACTTTTTATTTACAATATTAGTCCTTCAATTTTTATATGTTGTTATTTTGTACTTGAACAAAAATTATATTATTCTACTATACATAAATAATATAAGTAATTATTTTTAATTACGTCAAATGTAAAATATAACAATAACAAAATTAAAAATTAAAAATACTTTAAAATACCAAAATTTAAAATAAAACATAACAAAAAACTCATAAAATAATATTTTATTTTTGTTAGAGAAGAGATTTGTATCATCTCTAAAAGCCCGACATGAAATCTGATCGGTCCATTTTTGGAAACCCAAAAAATGTTCAGGTCGGCCAAATAAATGGAAATCTTCCAATTATTGGGCGAAATCCAGAAAAGACGGAAAATTGGCCATATCGGCAAGAAGACTTTCCTATTTCGGATATACGTAGAAGACCGACCTGATCGGCCATATCAGCAAGAAGACTTTCCTATTTCGGATATAGTAAATCTTCCAAAAATCGTCTCTGGAGACCTAGGACAACTTAAGCAATCTAATTGTTCTACCTCTCGATTTTATTCCTAAAAACAGTTTAGGTCGGCGTTCTTATTTCGACGACCTAAACCACCGTGTATCTCTCAAGCTCCGGCTAAATCTTAATAAAGATCTCTCTTTAAACCCACAAACTCTTGTTCAGTCTTTAGATCAAATTTGAGTTATCACAGTTTTGTTTAATTATATTTATTTATATTAAAATTGAATTAAAATAATATTAGTGAGTTAAAATCATAATTTTGACAAATATAAGGATATAATTATAAACTTTTTTGGAATTAAATAAAAAGAATATTTCATATTATCATCAAAAAATATATTCTTTTTACAATGAAAATGGAGTGGAAAATGGTTGGAGCACCTCCAAGAGACACTTCAAATTTAAAGTTTGGAAAACTTTAAATTTAATGTTTCGAGGTATTACTCTCCAATGATAAACTTCAAAAAAAACTTCAAAACTATTTATATTTTGCATTATGGTCCTCAATATTGATAATAATTAATTAACATCATAATTTTTTTATAAATAACTAAAACATACATATAAAAAGATTACAACCAATATTAATCAATAAAATATTATATAATAATATAAAAGTACATAATATACACATACTAAATTATAAATTACAAATAAAATATCAAATATTCAGTAAAACTATTTTCGTAGTGTTCCCATATATGATCAATCAATGCATTTCCAAGTTACCTGAATATTTGTATTATTGTAGTATTTCAATTTGTGTAATATTTATGTGTTTATGTAATTTATTTTCTTGTATTATTTTATTTTGTATTAAATTTGCTTTATATATAATTGTTGTTGTGTAAGAAAAATATTTATAATAATGTGTAATATTTTTTCTAATTTTATTTTAAGATTTTTATTTAATCTGTATATAAAAATTA